CGTAGCGGAAACCCGTGGCTGTGTTTAAGTGGAGTACATCTCTCTCCCACAGGACACACAGATGTTGGGCTGGCTGTCTGCACAGCTGTAGGCCTGCCACGCATGGAGGAACCTGCAACTGTCTGACGGAGCGACGGCAGGTTGGCACAGATGGCGAGGAGCTGTACGGAGGGAGTGAGCTGGCAGTGGAAATGGGAGGGCAGGTACCAACACAGCCTCCATCTGGACTCATGACTGGAGAACAGCCACGGGCCGTTGACATCGCTGCCGCTGAAGACCTGTCAACGTGACGGACAGACGCGTGTACGGCGCTGCGCTCGGCACGTGCAGATCCTCTCAGCTGTGAACTTGAGGAGAAGAAATAATGCCCCAGTTAGCCTCATCCAAAACAACAATTAGGATCGCATTCAAGCTCCAATTTGAACTCAATTAGAAAAAAATTCAATTGAAAAATGTGAAATGTTCAGTAAAACTCAATAAAATAAAATAAAATAATGCAGTTGCACAACTAACTTGTTCTTGAAAGTATTTGAATTCTTATGGCAATTTTTGATTATTAATAATATAATTAATATTACATAATATTAATTATATTATAAAAACAATATAATATAACATCATATGGAAGCGTATTGCATACACTACTGTTTTTCTGTTAATTATCTCAGAATTATCAGATTATTATTTTTCTTTTTTCACTCTGTTTTTATGAATTAATGAGTTACTCATAATTTTTTTAGATAATCAAGTCATTAATTCAGAAAAACAGAGCAAAAACCTTTTTCCATGAAAAATTATCTTGTAATTCCGAGATTTTGATTTTGTAGATTTTGTTTCCTCAATACGCCTCCGTACATCATATAATTAATATAATAGAATTAATTTAACATCATATAATATAACATAGCATAATTAATATAATACAAATTACGAATAGTAAAATATACTAAAATAAAATATAAATGAGACAAATAATGCGAAAAAGTTGCTACTTCTTGAAAATGTTTGAATTCATATTGCAATTTCTGATTTATTATTATTACATAAATAAATAAAATAATATCATGTTAAATAATATAAAATAAAGATAAGACACCTCTAGATCAGTAAAATAAATGAGACAAATAATGTGAAGCCGTTGCACAATTAACGTCTTCTTGAAAGTGTTTGAATTCATATTGCAATTTCTGATTTAGTATTATTATTATTATCATAATAAATATAATAAATGATGTGAAGCAGTTGCACAACTAACTTCTTCTTGAAAGTGAATTCATATTGCAACTGATTTAGTGTTATTATTATTATTATAAATATAATAAAGCAGTTGCACAACTAATTTGTTCTTGAAAGAGTTTGAAGCCATACTGCTGCAATTTATGATTGCAGACTGTTGTAGTTTGGGAAATCTGTGTACAGTGTGAGACATTAATGAAATAGGAAGGAAGCATTTATATATGATCTATTTCTCAGGAGAAGTAAAAGACAAAAGTCTCACATTCTCTCCATTTAATCTCACTGCTGTCGAAGAGACACAATGAGAGGTTGAAAAGCTCTTGTACGATTTTTCTTTGACGAGAGACGCTGGGAGAGTGAGATTGCCATGCACCGCCACAGCTTTTACTCTGATCTGAAACCAGATTCTTCTTGCCTTTCATCTTAAAGCAGCACAGACGGACCTCAGATCTACAATAAAAAGGCAATTCAAATCCAAGCTAGTCTCTCTAAAGACGGGAAATTACATTTTGCAACAGAAAGTCTATTGTTCTATAGTCCTAATAGACTTTCAGGTGTTTGTAGCCTGACTATAGTGCATGTGGGCTTAATGAGACCATGTTTAATCTATTTTGGGATTATAGTCGATATGGACAGTGTAAATTGAAAGGCAGATGCTCTAATCTAGATTTAAAGGTCATTTACGTGTAAACAGTGTAAATATGCAATGTAAGATATTCTTGTTTTTATTTATTTACCTCTCAATTCAATTCACAATCCATGCTGTCCGGTTCAGTAGGCCATAAAATGAGGTGTTGTTTCATTAACTGGAAATAAAAGATGATTGCATCCAAGAAAAAAAAGAAAAAAACGAAACACTAATTTTGTTATTCTACAACTGTCTCAGCTTATTTGCCTCAATTACAATGCATCACATGTAAAATTAAATTAAAAATATTAGATGAGGACAGACCGTGTTATTACTGTGGCTGGAGCCCAGAGAAGCTGGAGACTTCATTCGCCATCAGAGAAGGTGTCAATCACTCCTGTAGAGGACATGCTTTACTGTTGCTCGAGGGCTCCTGTGTGACCTAAATACAAAACTGTCAACAGAAAGACTGACCAACACAGAACAAGCTGAAGAGAATCGCAAAGAATATTCTGGCTTTAGACACTCACATCGATGGATTATCCAAAACATACACACAGGAGAAGTCAAAATCAACCACTGCGATTTATATTAGGCTCCAATGTGTGTTGTTTCATCAATTTACATTTATAATACTGGCTGCACTTTATTTTACAGTATGTGCACTTACCTAAGAAAGTACTGGTCATAGCCTATAAGGAAACTACATGGTGGTTTAGGGGTGGATTCAGGGTTAGTCCTACCTAGTTATTGCAAATACTATAATAAGTTCATAGTATGTACATGGGTACATGCACTGTAAAACAATTTAAGTGAAGTGAAATAAAGTGCCACCATAATAGTATACTGAAAATGACATACATTTTATCACAAATATGCTAGGCTACCCTGGAAAAACAAGGTTGAAACCTAAATCAGTAAAAGTACTTACGTATTCAGAAGATACAGAAAATCTTTCTTGATTGTTCATTCAATTAAAAAATTAAGTCAGAAATGGTTTATGATTAATAAGATTACAAGAAATTGCACACAAGTTAACTTAGCTATGTGTAACGAATGATAGCAATATTAGCTACCATTCGTTATACGTCACTTAGCCAATATTGTCGAACACACTTGTTATAACTACTAAAAAAAAATTTTATTAGCTTGATTTATCATATTTAATCTTGTGAAGCGTTCAAATGTAATGTTTTAAAGAAGGCCTGTAAGTGAAAACGAAGGGAAACCCCACACCTACGTTCTGAGGTAGTTTATCGTCAGGTTTGTTGACAGCGACGCCCCCTTCTGTTTGTCAGGAGAACTACATAAACACACTGGCGCAGACTAATTCGCTTTTATTCTTCCCTTTTAGTATCTGAAGATTATCCGTATGTAAATATCTAAAGATTTAAATAAAAAGCATTTTAATTTTAAATATAAAAAGATAGTTATGAATAAAATTGGATTGTAGCTGGCCTAAAGGCGTTTTCAAAACATAAGTAGCCTACTTAGGATGCATCAGACGTTAAGGCAAAGACGCTGCTGCAGAGTAAAAAAAAAGGACTAGAAAACAATACAAATAGGAATATATCCTTTGACATAGCCTATATACAGAAATAATCTGAAGTCAGCAGGTTCCTCTAATAAGCCTAATATTGCTGGTGTTGCTGAGGTGAGCTGATGGTTGATGCTATTAGCTGATCTTAAAAGCAGCACAGACTGCTGATGTTCAGGAGAATCGCACACAGCAGCACAGGGAATCTATGAACGCTGATGTATGACATCGACCTCAAGGAGAGAGAGGGAGAGAGAGAGAAAGAGAGAGAGAGAGACTCTAAACCCATAACTGCCCAGTAACAAGCTCTACCCCCTCATTGGCTGCAGAAGCAAGTGTATTTGATCAGGCCCTCAGACTAAATGACACACTCTGTTTGATCTGAGGACACTAAACCTCATGTGAGAGCGAACAGTAGACCTCAGCATGATCTGTCCTCTCTGGAGAATCTGTGCCCTGCTGCTGCTCACCTGGGTGATTGCTTAAAGGTAGTTCACTCAAATATTACAATCCTGCCACTCATGCAGTGTTAACCCCATCTATCTTTCCTTTAACACAGAAGTAGACATTAGGAGGAATATCATGGCTGCTCCTTACCATACAATGGAATTGAATCATGGGGATGCCAAGCTTTGACTCTCTTCATTCTCTTAAGTCGAGTCTTGAGTCAGGCCAGTGGACTAAATCAGTGACATATTTGGGTTTATGGACCTCTCAGGTTTGGGTTTATGGAAATCTCAGGTTTGGGTTTATGGAAATCTCAGGTTTGGGTTTATGGACCTCTCAGGTTTGGGTTTATGGACCTCTCAGGTTTGGGTTTATGGAAATCTCAGGTTTGGGTTTATGGACCTCTCAGGTTTGGGTTTATGGACCTCTCAGGTTTAGGTTCAGGTTTGGGTTTAGGACCTCTCAGGTTTGGGTTTAGGACCACTCAGGTTTGGGTTTATGGACCTCTCAGGTTTGGGTTTATGGACCTCTCAGGTTTGGGTTTATGAACCTCTCAGGTTTGGGTTTATGGACCTCTCAGGTTTGGGTTTATGAACCTCTCAGGTTTAGGTTCAGGTTTGGGTTTAGGACCTCTCCGGTTTGGGTTTATAGACCTCTCAGGTTTGGGTTTATGAACCTCTCAGGATTGGGTTTATGGACCTCTCAGGTTTTGGTTTATAGACCTCTCAGGATTGTGTTTAGGTTTGGGTTTATGGACCTCTCAGGTTTGGGATTATGGACCTCTCAGGTTTGGGTTTATGGACCTCTCAGGTTTGGGATTATGGACCTCTCAGGTTTGGGATTATGGACCTCTCAGGTTTGGGTTTATAGACCACTCAGGTTTGGGTTTATGGACCTCTCAGGTTTGGGTTTATAGACCTCTCAGGTTTGGGTTTATGGACCTCTCAGGTTTGGGTTTATGGACCTCTCAGGATTTTGTTTAGGTTTGGGTTTATGGACCTCTCAGGTTTGGGTTTATGGACCTCTCAGGTTTGGGATTATGGACCTCTCAGGTTTGGGTTTATGGACCTCTCAGGTTTGGGTTTATGGACCTCTCAGGTTTGGGATTATGGACCTCTCAGGTTTGGGTTTATAGACCACTCCGGTTTGGGTTTATGGACCTCTCAGGTTTGGGTTTATAGACCTCTCAGGTTTGGGTTTATGGACCTCTCAGGTTTGGGTTTATAGACCTCTCAGGTTTGGGTTTATGGACCTCTCAGGATTGGATTTAGGTTTATGGACCACTCATGTTTGGGTTTATGTACCTCTCAGGTTTTGGTTTATGGACCTCTCAGGATTGTGTTTATGGACCTCACAGGTTTGGGTTTATGGACCTCTCAGGATTGGGTTTAGGTTTATGGACCACTCATGTTTGGGTTTATGTACCTCTCAGGTTTGGGTTTATGGACCTCTCAGGATTGTGTTTATGGACCTCACAGGTTTGGGTTTATGGACCTCACAGGTTTGGGTTTATGGACCTCTCAGGATTGTGTTTATGGACCACTCATGTTTGGGTTTATGTACCTCTCAGGTTTTGGTTTATGGACCTCTCAGGATTGTGTTTAGGTTTGGGTTTTTATGGACCTCTCAGGTTTGGGTTTATGGACTACTCAGGTTTGGGTTTATGGACCTCTCAGGATTGGGTTTAGGTTTGGGTTTATGGACCTCTCAGGTTTGGGTTTATGGACTACTCAGGTTTGGGTTTATGGACCTCTCAGGATTGGGTTTAGGTTTGGGTTTATGGACCTCTCAGGTTTGGGTTTATGGACCTCTCAGGATTGGGTTTAGGTTTGGGTTTATGGACCTCTCAGGATTGGGTTTAGGTTTGGGTTTATGGACCTCTCAGGTTTGGGTTTATGGACTACTCAGGTTTGGGTTTATGGACCTCTCAGGATTGGGTTTAGGTTTGGGTTTATGGACCTCTCAGGTTTGGGTTTATGGACCTCTCAGGATTGGGTTTAGGTTTGGGTTTATGGACCTCTCAGGATTGGGTTTAGGTTTGGGTTTATGGACCTCTCAGGTTTGGGTTTATGGACTACTCAGGTTTGGGTTTATGGACCTCTCAGGATTGGGTTTAGGTTTGGGTTTATGGACCTCTCAGGTTTGGGTTTATAGACCTCTTAGGTTTGGGTTTATGGACCTCTCAGGATTGGGTTTAGGTTTGGGTTTATGGACCTCTCAGGTTTGGGTTTATGGACCTCTCAGGATTGGGTTTAGGTTTGGGTTTATGGACCTCTCAGGATTGGGTTTAGGTTTGGGTTTATGGACCTCTCAGGTTTGGGTTTATGGACTACTCAGGTTTGGGTTTATGGACCTCTCAGGATTGGGTTTAGGTTTGGGTTTATGGACCTCTCAGGTTTGGGTTTATAGACCTCTTAGGTTTGGGTTTATGGACCTCTCAGGATTGGGTTTAGGTTTGGGTTTATGGACCTCTCAGGTTTGGGTTTATGGACCTCTCAGGTTTGGGTTTATGGACCTCTCAGGATTGGGTTTAGGTTTGGGTTTATGGACCTCTCAGGTTTGGGTTTATGGACCTCTCAGGTTTGGGTTTATGGACTTCTCATGATTGTGTTCAGGTTTGGGTTTATAGACCTCTCAGGTTTGGGTTTATAGACCTCTCAGGTTTGGGTTTAGGACCCCTCAGGTTTGTGTTTATGGACCTCTCAGGTTTGGGTTTATGGACTTCTCATGATTGTGTTCAGGTTTGGGTTTATAGACCTCTCAGGTTTGGGTTTAGGACCCCTCAGGTTTGGGTTTAGGACCTCTCAGGTTTGGGATTATGGACCTCTCAGGTTTGGGTTCAAGTTTGGGTTTATAGACCTCTCAGGTTTGGGTTTATAGACCTCTCAGGTTTGGGTTCAAGTTTGGGTTTATAGACCTCTCAGGTTTGGGTTTATGGACCTCTCAGGTTTGGGTTTATGGACCTCTCAGGTTTGGGTTTATGGACCTCTCAGGTTTGGGTTTATGGACCTCTCAGGTTTGGGTTTATGGACCTCTCAGGTTTGGGTTTAGGACCCCTCAGGTTTGGGTTTATGGACCTCTCAGGTTTGGGTTTATGGACCTCTCAGGTTTGGGTTTAGGACCTCTCAGGTTTGGGATTATGGACCTCTCAGGTTTGGGTTCAAGTTTGGGTTTATAGACCTCTCAGGTTTGGGTTTATAGACCTCTCAGGTTTGGGTTCAAGTTTGGGTTTATAGACCTCTCAGGTTTGGGTTTATGGACCTCTCAGGTTTGGGTTTATGGACCTCTCAGGTTTGGGTTTATGGACCTCTCAGGTTTGGGTTTATGGACCTCTCAGGTTTGGGTTTATGGACCTCTCAGGTTTGGGTTTATGGACCTCTCAGGTTTGGGTTTAGGACCTCTCAGGTTTGGGTTTATGGACCTCTCAGGTTTGGGTTTATGGACCTCTCAGGTTTGGGTTTAGGACCCCTCAGGTTTGGGTTTAGGACCTCTCAGGTTTGGGTTTATGGACCTCTCAACATATTTTCCCAGGTGGAGAAAAAAAAAGCAAAGACTTCCCGGGAAGCAGGTTTGTTTGTCAACACACCGTGGGTTCCCTGCCAACACTTCCCTCTTCCAGAGACCGAGAATAAAGCTGAAGATGAAATGGGTTCCCAGGCTGCCGTGTAATTGCTCAGCCCTTATGTTGAACCCCTTGAGCATTCATTCAAATGAGGCCGTAATTGCCACATCTGTTAACCCTCTGAAGAGCCGTCAGCCGAGTGTCACGCATCTGCTAATTGGTACAAACAGGTAGCAGACGCTGATCTCCTCCACTGAGCATCTGCCGATTAGAGGCGCAAATTCAATGAGCGCTGATTAAAGGTCCTGCTAAAATGGCAGAGAGGTTTAAATACTGCTGCTGAATATGCTATAACACTTCATAATGGCGATTAGCTGAGAGCCAGGAACCAGGAGGGCTCTGTGGGTTGGTGTGAATTCATTTTTTTTAGGCACGAAGGAAAAATGGGTCACAGGACTTTTCCTCTTGTGGTTTGGCCAACCTGAATGCCTCATAAAGCCATAAATGTTATGTATACATCCAATAGGAGGTTCTCTGGAATTATTCAAAAAATAAATTTGTTTACAGTCAGACTATAAATAGAATAATGTAAACAGTATAGTTTATATTGTCCTCAGAGTATATTAATATTTAAGTTATCAAAATATCTAATCATATGATATTAAAATATTAAATAAATAGAATAATTATGTAAACAGTATAGTTTATATTGTCCTCAAAGTATATTAATATTTAAGTTATCAAAATATCTAATCATATGATATTAAAATATTCTCATAAAGACATAGCAATATCCATGTTTCTGGTTAACTACCCATATACATTTTTGAACATTGTTTTTATATTTTGATTTTAAAAAGATTTTATGAGAAACAAATATTATATAAATGTTAATATTTTATGTTTTAACAATATATGAACTTGAATTATATATATATATATATATATATATTTACAAATTTATAAATGACTGGATATAATTATATATGTATATTATATGCATATGATAATATCAAAGTTCACATATACAATCTTTAATTATATAATTAAATCATATATTTCATAAGATTTTATATATACATTTTAAAATATAAATATAAAAATACCCAAAGTCATATCATTTTGAATTATTTGTATATATATTTGAGGAATATATTATATTACTATATTAATGTTTATGATTTTTGTATTTAATTTTTGTTATATATATATGAACTTATTTTTTTGTGTGAGGCAGGATATTATTATTTTTTAAGGAATATATATGATATCAAAGTACATACTTCATATATAAAAGCTTATTAAAATATAATAAATAATGTCAAATTCCACAAACAAATGTGTAGCATAATTGACTCAGTATTTTAAGTAATTTTATATATGGGTTGTAATTTTGAGATGTCTGGAATGTGAGGTTCAAAAGCAGTGATTAAAAATGGTGAAAAAAAATGCAAGTCAGAGGACCTAGGATATATACTTTCCTTTATACATGTATATACAATTTAACCTAGCAATATTGATGTAGTTAAAAACAAGCACAACTATCCCTAAAGCTTTATAATAAAAGTATTATTTATCAACAGTGCAGATGGGAGCGGCGTCACACCATTGTCAAATAGCCGTCTGTAATAATGTAAATATGAACTGTTGCGATATCAAAGAAACCCAGATGACGAAACTGTTCCAGTGACGCAGGACACCATCATCAAGTGGAGAGATTTATCAAGTCATACAATTGTACAATTGTGTTCTTTATACAAAACATTCATTAGAAAAGTGCATACTGTAGCATAATGTGGAATTCACTTAAAATAAATAAATGGTTCTTGATTTATCGGAAAACATTGAAACACGAAAACAAAGTAAAATAAGAAAACACAACGGTTCCAGTTCCTTCGCTTCATTGGTTTGGATCAGTGGCTCTTCTCAATATATAAAAATAAAAGTTAATATTTCTGAAAAAGAATGCAAAGAGGTATTTTAATAATAATAATAATAAATATGATAAATGAATTGTATATTTTAAAAATAGGGTTTCTGTGACACAGTTTGGATTTTTTATTTGAATTCTCACCCGCATTTGTTCATGTATCCAGTCCAGGAAGTAGGTCACATTTCCGTAGACTCCGGGCTTGTTTCTGAAAGCACATCCATCACCCCAGCTAGTGTCCCCAACCAGCCACCATAGAGAGTTCTCCTTTGTGACCAGCGGACCCCCACTGTCCCCCTGTGTGGAGCAGCACTTATTTAACTCAGTTCTCTAATTTACTCTTCTGAGTGATCGAGCATGTGTGTGTGTGTGTGTGTGTGTGTGTGTGTCTGACCTGACAGGAGTCCACGCCACCCTCCAGCTTGCCAGCGCAGATCATGGTGTTTGTGATCTGTCCGTTATACACCTGTCGGCTGTTACACGTCGTTCTGTCGATTAGCCGAATTTTGGCTTCTTGTAGGGATTCTGAGGAAAGTCCTTTAAGAAAACAAAGAATTTGCTTACCAAGCGTTTCAATTTCTTATTTTCTGTCCGATTTTATTCACTTCACACGCATTTGGATCCGTTTTCAAACCTCCACTCTGCAGCGCACCCCATCCCGTGATGTACGCTTCCCGCGGAGCAGAGAACTGCATGCCTTTATTGGGCAAACACACCGGCTTGACGTTTGAATCTAGATGCATACAAAAGAAAATGAAACATTGTCATCATCCAAACCTTTTTCTGTAAACACAAAAAGAGATATTTTGTAGAATGTTCACGCTGCTCTTTATTTCCACACAACGGAAAAGCTTTGTAATTCAAGTCATTTGTGTCAAGAACAGGTCATCATACAAATCGTTATAATTAAAATAATTCTAGAGATTTTTACTAATTTTTAAAGCAATAAAGTGTTGAATAAGGTAAATGAACAAATTAGTTCAATCAAATGAACTTTTATGAGTATTTAGTGCTTTATTTTTAGTTCAACAAACTGGCACATTTTTTATTGATCAAAAATGTATATATTTTTTTAAATATAATTTTTTGTTGTTGTTATGTATTGTTAAATGCAATGTTAAATATTAACATTAACTTAAACTAATGTTTAACAATATGTGTCACATTTAAAGAAAAAACTATCAGAGCAAGCTTGAAACCAGTGGTGTTATGGTTAACTAAAACTAAAAGTATATAAAAAGATTTTAAAAGCTGAAAATAAATAAAATATGATTTTTTTTTTATGGAAACAAAATTTAAAACCGGGAAAAAAAACTAAATTATATATATATATATATAATTTGAAATGAAAAAAAAAAATAATATATATATATATATATATATATATTTATGGCTGTGCAAAAATTAATTGCGATTAATCGCATCCAAAATAAAAGTCTGTGTTTACATAATATATTTGTGTGTGCTGTATATAATTATTTTGTATATATAAATACACACACATGCATGTGTATATTTAAGAAAATGTGTTATTTATATATAAAATATTTATATAATATAGATTATTTTTTATATATATATATATATATATACAGAATTTAAGCACAAATAATTCTTAAATATATACATGCATGCAATGCATAGGTATTTAGATATACAAAATAATTATATACAGCACACACAAATATATTATATAAACACAGACTTTTATTTTGGATGCGATTAATCGCAATTAATTTTTGGACAGCCCTAATATATATATATATATAAATTATTTAAACTAAAATTAAAATGACAACTAAAAATATAACCATAAACCCCAATTCAAAATAGTACATAAATAATCCCAAAATAACATTGCATGAAAAAAATACTTTTATCACTATTATTAAATCATAATGTAATTTTCTCATTGGCTGGGAAACAAACATGACTATTCAGTCTTACTTGTAATTGTGAGTGGACGGTTTAGCTTCATCAGTGCAACGTCATTTTCATTGGTTCTCGGATCAAAGTCGTGCTTGACAATCCGGCCGACAGAATTGCCGACGGCGAGCCGCATCTCACTACGGGTCAGATATCCGGCGTACACCGTCCAATCCCTTGCATTTGAGATCCTACACAAGTTAGTCATTTATTAGAGTTGGTCGTGGCTTGTTGAATGAGATGGACTAAATGAAAGGCCTTACTCTTGAACACAGTGAGCTGCAGTGACGATCCAGTACGGGGTGATGATAGAGCCGCCACACAGATGCCTTCCGGAAGCTTGCAGGCTGACCTGCCATGGCCACACCCCCTTCGACTGCACCGTCACGCCCCCCACGATTCGGCTCCCGCTGCTCCGCCCACAATCTAAAATACGATTCAGAAAACAGCTTTAGTAGATGTGAAATGTTTTAAAAAAATGGACATTTTTCCAAATTTTTCCGCCCAAAAATGGAAATTTAGTTTTAATTTAGCAACAGTTCCACTAACCTAACCAACAAAAATAGCTATCAAAATTGAACTTTAATTTAATTTGATTTCATTAAATAGCATGCACAGAAAATAATATTTAATTACAAAAAAAAAAAAGAACTCAAAAAATAAAAAATAAAGAGATGGAAAACTATTATCTTACCAATACATTTGAGTGCCACGGCTTTGTTAGATGGACAGGATGAACTGAATTATCATAAGAGAAACAAAAAAAATTTTTTAAACAAGCTGATTATATGGGATAAAAAAAAATATCATCCAATAATTAATTAAATAAACAAAAGCGTAAAGTCAGTACAAAAATTCAGTAACACTTTACAATAGTCTCATTTATTTACATTAGTTAATGCATTAATAACAATGTATTTACCTTTGATCATGTTAATTTAAAACAAAGTTACTTCACAGCAGCATTAACTTATGTTAACAGATTAGTGTATTAGTAAATGCTGAGAATAACATTAAAGATGAATAAATGCCGTAAAGTGTTGTTCATTGTTAGTTCATGTTAACTCCTGTGGTTAGCCAATGTTAACAAATGAAACCTTATTGTAAAGAGTCACCAGAGAGTGTGTGTAAGCTGAGCTCAGTGACACACCTTTTACTGAGGAAACTTTGTGTGGACATATTCAGAGCATCTGTCTTCACCAGCATGAAGTCCAGAGATTCTCCAGAGCCAATCTTCTCGTATCCCACGTA